AAGACAGGCTGCCCTCAACCCCACCCCTTCCACCTGAGGCCACATTCCTTCTGGGTGTGTGGAGCCCCCACACCTCTCTCCAAGGGGGCCAGTATGACTGCCTGCACAAGTATCAGCCAGATCTTTACTAGACTCAGGGATGTGAATGTCTGTTTTCTAGTTACAATGAACAGAACCTGCTGCCTTTCCCAACATTGCTCAGGTTGCTAGAAGAGAAAAGGTCTATAGCCCAAGCCTGACTTTACCAGAGGGCACTGTAACCAACCTTTGATTAATCAGTTACATGGCATTTGCCCACCTTGGAAAGATTACTCCATCAGTAACAATATTTATCTGCTGACAAAACTAATGAATGAATTAGACATGGTATTAAGTCTGTGCTAAGAAACAGACTCCGCAGCAAGCAAGTTTGGGATAGGGATACAAAAGGAGCTAGATTAATGGGAACTGATGATGTTGCAAATATGAACAGTTTGCAAGTTGCCTCTACACAATAAATGAAAACAATTAGTTGTTAGTCTTTTTGGCCTTTAGCTACATGTGATTCAAAGGAAAGTTACCTTTTCATTACATGCCATTTCACAGGGCAAGAGCTGTTTGACTGGAGACCCCATTGCCTTTTCCACAAGACGAATTGTTCTCACTAATTCTGCCAGTTCATTTGGCTCCAGAGATGCCTGGTGATCACTTCCTTTCCATGTTTTGTCCAAAGTTACATGGCGTTCCAGTATTTTTGCACCCATAGCAACTGCTGCCACTGAAATGGCTATGCCAGTCTCATGTCCAGAATAACCAATGGGGATATCTGGAAAAGCTGATTGATATGCCTTGAATGACAACAAAGTTGATCTGAATTATAAGGATCTCAATTTCAGTCACAGAGAGCAAATTGATTGTAACCAAACATACAACTAGTGTCACAAAACAAGTAAATCCTGCTTTCAGTTAACATGAACAAGGTGTACTGTACTACCTACTAGCTTGATTTTGTTTCAAGGGGTCACTGGGACAACCACCATGAGTAAGGGAGAATAGGCTAATTGTACCCTAAAACTTCTCTGGTGTTTTTCCTAGTTAAATTGTATCCGCCAACACCTAACTCCAAAGATAGTGGATTATACTAACAATGTGTGTCTGTTCCCTCCAAGAGTCAACTGGACTGAACCAATTTTAAAATGTATAGAAAATGGTTTGGATTTAGATTAACTTTTTTTAGTCTAAATCCAAACCACATGAAACATTTCAGAAGCGGATACTTCAGACCAATCCTAAAAACGTTTATATATGCACAGGTAAGTTGTCTCTCTGAAAACAATGAAACTACTCGTGCCCATAGTTAAGCATATGTTTTAATAATTTCCAGTTTTACAGACATTTGTTTTCTTATTGCAGTATCCTCAATAATCACAAGTCTCCAGGTAGCTCCTACCAACAGGAAGATGCTACTTCAGGGTACAGATGTGCTTTAGTCACATACTTGCTTTTTGCTGGAAATATTTTTAATTAAAGTTTTGACCTGACCCACTATCTAGTTTCTTATATCTAGCTAGTGTCTGATTGCGTACACATTTTTGCATCCACAAGAAAATATTCCATTTCATAGCTCATACTCTGCACTGTTAAAGCATGCATATATCAACTGGTAATAAATAAATCAAGTTGCTTGATACCAAATTCTGCCAATCGGGGCTCCAGTAGCTTTTAATTTTATCCTCATGGGAACTAGAAAAACATGTCATTTTCTGCCCCCTCAGCAGCAAATACCAGCTTCATCAAGATTTAGGAATTTAAGTAAAAGTGTGTTTCATCTGTGATTTGACTTTCCTAATACATGACACGTTACATATGATTCACTGACCGTTATCACACGGAGGTTGACATCCTCAGGTTGAAGAGGATAAGCACTGGTGCACTGGAGAATGCAGAAGTTGGGATTGATCGGTTTCACAAGCTGGTAAACTTTGTGCATTGTGTCCATTGACTGCATCCCACTGGAAATGACCATCGGGCGACCTGTATATGAAAGTTGCATTGGTTTATCCTAAGGTATGAATTTAAACAGATTGGTTAAAATGGTGCAAAATGTCGCTGACTACCTGTATTTCAGTGCAAGAGTAGCTTAGTTTGATGTAGCTGAAACAATTCAATTCAAGTTACAAAGCTGGTTAAACTAAACCAGTTTAACACACACACACCCCCACCCACACACCCACCCACACACCAAACCAAGGGGCGTAGACAAGCCTTTACATGTGTCATACCTGACCACTGCACTAAGGATTTGTCAAGGATTTAATTTTGCTGTCTGAAATTAAACTAGAAAGAATGTTATGCCAGCAACACACACACCATGTCGGTTATTTGCTTAACTCCAAAATACACTACAAGCAATTGCATTCTATTTAAAGATGCATTACATTAAGTGTGCCTGACTGCTAAACTGATGCTGTGACAGGTTGGAAGTACATCTGAGTTAAATTGGTAACCCCATTTTGTTTCATGGGCTCTAAGCCAAGAGGAGAGAGCAGGGAGTCAACAGGAACCCAGAACTCATCTACCTACAAGACATGGGAAAAAGAGGAACAGAGAGGCTACGTCTACACTGGCCCCTCTTCCGGAAGGGGCATGTAAATTTCAGCAGTCGTCGTAGGGAAATCCGCGGGGGATTTGAAGTAAGAATAAGAGCCTCCGGAAAAGGGCACTTTTTCCGGAGGATCGGGGCCAGTCTAGACGCTCTTTTCCGGCTTTTTTAAAAGCCGGAAAAAAGCGGCGGACATTTTTATTTAAATGCCGCGGGGGATATTTAAATCCCCCGCGGATTTCCCTACGACGACTAGTGAAATTTACATGCCACTTCCGGAAGAGGGGCCAGTGTAGACGTAGCCAGAGGGTTTGACTCTCCCCTGCCTTGTTCCTGGAGACAATCACTGATCCCAGTGCAGAGTGGGTGTAAAATGCTTCCTAATCAGGAGAGCAACTGTTTGCACAGTTGTGGGCAACCAGGCAACAGGGAGTCTAGAACAAGGGAGCTTCTCTAGAAAAGGGGCTAGATCACAGAGACATACAAGAACACCCAGATAAGGAGGCAGGAAAAGCTGAGTAGCCTATGGATGCTGATCACACCCAGGATTCACAAGATGGGTGACATCAGACTTTTTTAAAAGATCTATAACTCTACTATGCTTTAAGAGTAAATTGTTTGTGATTAAGAAATCCCATTGGTATGCCTATGTTCCTTGCTTTCCTGCCATGCTGTCCTTAAAAGATTAATCAAGAAGCTCAGAATGCTCATGGAGATATGGAGCTTGGCTGGAACACATACAAGCAACTGGGGGCTTGGGAGGGCTAGATCACTGATTTTGGGGCCTAAGGTGGCTTGACTGCAGGGTCCCACTGCACAAAAAATGTTAGACATGCAGTCTACACTTGGGGGTGTGCCTGAGAGACCCAGAGCTGGAACCAGAGGGTTTTAAAAGTATGTGGGATCCAGCAGTCAAATTCATACAAACAGACTGGTGTCCATTCAGAGAACGAGATGACATTTGTGAAATTGAGACGTCAACTGAAACTTTCAGATGGTTGTCTCAAACAAGAGGGAAATGGTTGGGAGTTAATCTGCTGAAACTCAGGGATGGTTAATAAAACAGTCAAATAGAACCATTCACCTTTCTTTGCTGTCTTTTCCAAATATGGAAAATTGTTGGTATCTCCTGATCCTACTTTAAAAAATGGAACATCCAGTTCATGTAGAAACTCTACTGCCATCTATAAAAAGAGAACATGTTTTTAAAAAACATTCCTAAAAATTACCCCCTTCATACCCAACAAAGAATCACCCACAGTCGATAAATGAGCCCTCCTTCTCCAGAAGAAAGACTAGGAAATTGTAACAAAGGTATTTTAAGTTCAAGACAATGTATATGCATACCCCAACAAAAACTTATCCCTATAGTATCAATAATGCCACTTTCCGCTCCTGAATCAGGGACTACATATTGAATGCACAGGGCCAAATTCTGCAGACTAATACCCTGTGAAATCCCAAACACCACTTAATTTGGCTCAAGAAGTTTAGTCTAGCAAGATTAAGTATAGCATCTGCAGTGTGACTGTATTCATCAGGAAAAGTGCTGGATAAATAGTGCTATAGACTAGGGATGTAACTATTGATCAAAACAGTTAACAGGTTCAACAATTTAAATTATATCATTTAACCCATTCATTTTTGGTGCGTCAGGACAGAGGTCTTACTGAGGTTGCGTGCAGGCATTTCGGGGTCAGTGTGGAGTGGCCTGCCCCCATTAGGGTGGTCGGATCTGGGGGCACTCTGGCACGGCTGGGTCCAGGATCCAAGACTGGTGCTCCTGCTGGAGGGCTCAGCCAGGAACAGGGTTGCTGTGGCACAGCTGGGATCCTTCCTGCCCCTGCTGGGGCCGCTGGAGCATGGACCCCACCAGCCCACCATGCAGCCCCATCTGCCACCCTGACTTGGCTGGATTCCCACCTACTGGCTCCACATGGCTGGCAATTCAGTTAACCAATAAGCATTCTGGTAAACCTAATGCTTATCAAGCTAATTCTAGAGTATAGTGATTGTCTGGTTTTACCCATATAGTTGTTATGGGGGCATTTACTGCTGGATGAAATACACCACATGTTGTGATAGGCATGGGTATGACCAAGGATATTGAATGGTGTGCTGGCGGGGGGAGAGTATTAATCATCAAAGCAGTAGAGCGATACCTACAGGTTTTGCATTTATGGAGAGGATTTGGTGCCTCTTTGTAGTTGATGTGTCTTGATGATTTCTGTGATGTGAGTCTATGTCCACTAGGAATGGACTGAGACCAACTCATTTCACTCATCAGACGGTAACAACTGTCAGTCAGTTATCAGCCTGGGATGAATTTGAATCCGTGATCTCAGAGGCGAAAGGTATCACCTACCCTCTGACCCAGTGATCAGCTCCTCTCTTAGGACTTTGTTTTCTGGAGGCTTAGATGTAAATTACCAGATGGATGCTTTTGTTTATAGAATGTTTACATTCTATAAAAGAAGGCATTTCACCCACGTCTTTAAAAATTAAAATCAGAATAGAAAAGGTTACAAGCCTCAAAACTATTGAGATGTTATAAATAATTATATATTTAAGAGCTATATATTCAATAGTTAGAGGTTGGCAAGAGAAAAACCATTAATATTATGGGGAAAATGCTTCAGAACCGTTAATTGGCATCTTGAAAAAAGTTACAATCCTACATAGGAAACCAGAAGACTACTTCTACTTTTATAAATGCAACTAATAAGATAAAGCTGCACCAGAACACATGAAAAATCGATAGCTTTTCAAAATGTTACACTCAATCAATCCTCTTCTAAAAAACTTATATGCTGCAGACAAAATAATTCACATATCAAAGATCATGCAGTTACTGCCCTCTTTAAATAGAAGAGTCATCTGGAGGAATGAAAACCACTAATCAGCAGAGCTGTTACAAAACTCCTCCACACTTTCTCTGTTTTCAGAAGACAATAGCTACACAACTTCGTCAATGCTAGAAAAGACCACAACTTCTGCAACTCATTCAGTCATGGTATTTATTTAGACTCAAGAGGCTAAGGCCCGGATCCCTGAAGGTATTTAAGCACCTAATTCACATTGAAGTTAAGAGTTTGATGCCTAAATATCTTTCAGGATCTGAGTCTAGAATTTCTGCCAGGAAGAGGCAAAACAAAAGCAACTGTGCTCTCTTCCAATTTGCCCTGCCTGTATGATGCTAAAATCAAATTTCTTGTGCTCCTGCTGTTGTGGCTCTTTGTAATTTTTTGAACTAAATAAACAAATCGGATTACTGGCCCTCTATTGCCATTGAAAGGACTTGAGGAAGATTATACAAAACAGAAACAAAGCCCAACCCTTCTTAAGCATAACAGCTATTTGCTAACCATGTGCTCATTGTCTAAAAATATACACTCTAGGAATTATTTGGGGGAAATTCTATGGCATGTTACTCAGGAGGTCAATCTATCATCACTATGGTCTCTTCTGGCCTTGGAATCTATAATCATTTAGTTAGCCAGTCATACGAGAGACAATAATACTGAATCCTGTTGGCAGTGCACACAGAGTGGTTCACTGGGACTCATGTCTTCAATGCAAATTGGAACAGAGAGTAAATAAGTTGTCACTTACTTCCTTTATATTTACTTCATATCAATCAAAATCTCTCATACCATTAAAAACCTAACTCTACATCTTCTACAACACAAAATTCCATTTAGTTCTGTTCAGTTTATATTACTAATTATTATTTTGCTGTATGAAGCATTTACAGTCAAAACATGGTAATCATGATGAAAGTTGCAGGCAGCTTCTTAGACAAAAGCATTATGCATCTGTGGCTTTTGCGGGGGAGGGTGTCAATATTATCAATTAAATTAGGAGGTTGCCTCAGTCACAAGACCTCAGTGTCCAAAGTACAGGATAAGTTTGTTTTTTTTAAGTGCTAAGCAACTTCAGCTAATCACTAGGGCTGCGTCTAGACTGGCAAGTTTTTCGGCAAAAGCTTGCCAGCTGTCTACACTGGCCGCTTGAATTTCCGCAAGAACACTGACAATCTAATGGAAGATTGTCAGTGTTCTTCCGCAAATACTATGCTGCTCCCGTTCGGGAAAAAGCCCTCTTGCACAAATGTATTTGCGCAAGAGGGCCAGTGTAGACAGCTAAAAACTGTTTTGCGCAAAAAAGCCCCGATGGTGAAAATGGCGATCGGGGCTTTCTTGCGCAAACCCGCGTCTAGATTGGCACGGACGCTTTTCCGCAAAAGCATCTGTGCCAATCTAGACGCTCTTTTCCGCAAATGCTTTTAACGGAAAAACTTTTGCGGAAAATCATGCCAGTCTAGACATAGCCTAGGAGTTGAAGGGGCTTGGCACTTTGTGATAAGCATTTCACCTTTGTATATCAAAAACCAAAGAATGGAGGGTGGTGGGGTTTTCAAAAGTGCCTAGGCTTCGGGAAATCCCACTTTAAGATTGCAGCTGTTGAAGCACAGGAGGGATGGTTGTGTTTCATCAGTGAAAAAATGCAATGTCCATTACTTAGCAAGCCTTCCTGACTTAAAGGTGACATGATGTGACCCACAACAGTATATTTGCTCATTTGTTTCTAGGCCAAAATTGAAAAGCAAAGTAATCTTTGAACTTTTTAATCATGACTCAAGTCTACTGCTTCAGCCCACGCCACTGATTATCAGGCACTTGAGCTGAAACAAACAAAATAAAACTGTACCTATTAATTTTCTAGTTAGACTGCAGCTATGCCTCATGTTCAATGGGTTATCTACATCACGATTATATAGCTACTGACATCAGTGATGCACAACAGCTGAGGATTAGAGAGGGCTTTTTATTTCTTTATTATATAGACACACACCTTTGATGGAAGCAGTATGGATTATAGGCTTCATGAGAAAGTGTGCTTATAGAAGAGGACTTGAAGACAGAGGGGTGAGGGACCTTCAGCCAGGATCAGACGCGGAGGGGGTAGCCATGTTAATCTGTATCTGCAAAAACAAAGGAGTACTGTGGCACCTTAACACACAGGCTATGTCTATGCTGCTGTGGTCGATCTTCTGGGGCTCAATTTAGCGGGTCTAGCAAAGATCCGCTAATTCGAATTGAGAGGGCACTTCCATCAGGGCCGGTACTCCTGCTCCTCATGAGGAGTAAGGGAAGCCAATGGAAGCATTTGCTCTCATTAACCTCCCACTGTGTGGATGATTATTTAAGATATGTTAATTATATAGCTGGAGTTGACCTAACTGGAGTTGCATTACTTAAGTTGACCTTCCCCTTTAGTGTAGACCAGATCTAACAGATTTATTTGGGCATAAGCTTTCAGGAGGAGGGAGTTGGATGAAATGATTCCTGATCAAAGAGCAGGAGAAGATGACAAAAGGGGAATTAGTTTTATGGTTTGGGTCAAAGAAAGGGGATATGGTTAGTAGCAAATAGAGAACTACAAAATAGCAGCAAGGACTCAGCTGAGACAAGAAAGGAATCTGATGCAGAGTGCAAAGTGAAGGCTGAAGGAACCTGAAAGGAGGAGCTGACTATTGACAGGGTCACATGCAATTTGAGAGAGTTGCCAAACTGTTGTTTAAACTGATAAAGATCAAGTTATTTGGAGTTCTGGCTGAGACCTTTTCTTTTACTTGTAAACACTTCAGCATAGGAGAAAACATGTTTGGAGGGCATTTGGTAGGAAACATATGCAACTGTAACTAACACACAACAGTAATAGAGATGTAGCTGTATTAGTCTGGTTTTGCTGAAACAAAATACAGGACTAGGCAGCACTTTAAAGACTAACAAGATGGTTTATTAAGTGATGAGCTTTTGTAGGCCAGACCCACTTCCTCAGATCAAATTGTGGAAGAAAATTGGCATGACCATATATACCATAGGGATACAATAAAAAAAAAGTGAACACACATAAAATTGACAAATCAGATTTTAGAACAGAGGGTGTGTGGGGGGGAGTGGGGGGAGGTTAGTATCTATGAGATAATGATATTAGGGGTGATAATTGGGGAAGCTATCTTTGTAATGGGTAAGGTAGTTAGCATCTTTAAGGCCCATTTGTAAAGTGTCAAATTTAAGCATGAATGACAGTTCTGAGGTTTCCCTTTGTAGTCTGGTGTTCACCTAATAAACCATCTTGTTGGTATTTAAAGTGGTGCATAGTCCTGTCTTTTGACACACAATGGGAATGATTGAGGACAAAGTTGTATATTGGCTCTCACTTTCATATATTTTGTCATATAGAGCCCAAACAAAACCTTGGTATTAGTTTAATATAATTTACATCAAATATCTTCTAAGTGCCCAGTAAGCAGTGGAAGTTTTGGTAATGCTGCTAGACAATAATAACTGCATTAATGCAAGAATTGCATTTGCTTTCCTGTACCATTACAGCTCACATACCTCATCCATGCCAGAGGCTGTGAAGTAGATGCCTATCTCTTTTGCATACTTCTGCAGCTCCCGATACTGGGCATGACTGAACTCCAAGTGGCGCTTGTGCTCTCCATAAGTCTTTCCCCAGGAGTGTTTGGACGTATAGGGCCTCTCCAGTGCTTTCTTGTTAAATTTGTGCTCTAACTCACTCTTCTGGAACTTGGCACAGTCTGCTCCACACTCCTGCAAGACACATCATCTTAGAATCTGCACAAGACAGGTGCCACTGAATCTAAAAAGAAATACACAAACCAAAGTAACACTCTCAACAACCTTGCTCCCCTATAAAACCCTCAATACAGTGTTCCTGCTCCCTCCATCCTCCCCACTCTCTCTCCCTGTGCCCCAGCTTCCAGTCCAGAACTCTTCCCCCAGCACTTCTGGCTCCTCAATACACCACCCCTGCTCAACACAGATCCTGTCTGTCTTCCCCCATGGTCCATGCCTCCACCCCCCCAGCTTCCCTATAGACCCTCTCCCCAATGCCCCTGCTCAACCTTCAACACAGAACCCCTGCTCCCCTCAGGTTTACCCTCCTCCAGCACCCTGCCCCTACAGTCTCTCCTGATGCTTCACCTCTACAGGCCTGTGCCCCTACCACCTGCAGACCCCAGCCCTAGAACTCCTGCACCCCTCCCCCACACCTAGCACAGCCCCTTCCCTTGAGATCCCACCCCTACACCTAGCACAGCGCCTCCCCCTCAGATCCCACCCGTACACCTAGCACAGCGCCTCCCCCTCAGATCCCATCCCTACACCTAGCACAGCCCCACCCCCTACAGAAATTCCCGCTCCCTAGACCTAGCGCAGCCCCTCCCCTCAGATCCCACCCCTACACCTAGCACCGCCCCGCCCCCTCAGATCCCGCCTCTACACCTAGCACAGCCCTGCCCCAGA